AAGACATAAGGAAAATGCACGAAAAGAAGCTAAAATAGATAAGGGCTCAAAAATGCTTTAGTAACAATATCAAAATAAACAACATAAAACCAACATGATGTAAGGTCAGGTGTCCATGAGTCCATGAAATGGATAGACCAAAATAACCACAACATCACGTGCAAAAAATAAGCTTCTACCTGCAAATCACGATTATAAGCAAGAGGAAGTCCTTTGCACAATGTGAGAAGGGTAACCAAGTCTCCGATCACTCTAGCAGACTTTCCTCGAACAAGTTCCATTGGATCAGGATTTTTCTTTTGAGGCATTATGCTACTTCCAGTGGACACAGAATCACTAGGTGTAATGAATCCAAACTCCTCTGAAGCCCACAATACCCATTCTTCACCGATTCGAGAAAGATGAACTGCGATGATGGAATTAGCAGAAAGAAACTCTAGGACAAAATCTCGATCTGAAACTGCATCAATGCTGTTTGAAAATAGAAAATGTAACTATGTTAACAGAAGCCTGATATCTGTAGCTAATGAAACATACATACAATGGTCATGTGTGACATTCCAGAAACTCAAATATGATGGCTGTTTCAGCACATACCTGTTCCTCATGGGAGCAGTGAATCCCAGAGCATTGGAAGTCATAAACCTATCAATTGGTAGGCCAGTACCAGCTAGTGCACACGCACCTAGGGGACTGAAATTCAACCTTGCTTTACAATCTAATAAACGGCCAGCATCTCGGTCAAGCTACAACCAAAAAGGCTGAGTTAGCAATTCTAGAGGCAAATTTATAAAAGAAAAAGGGTAAGACACCATCATGAAAACATACAGAAAGTTGAATTAACCACCTGCAATTTTTTAGCATACATAATAATCACTTGTTCTTTCTTTTAAGAAAAGAACCGGTCTTCCCAGCAATATAACCATAATTGATTTGTTCAGAAGTTGATTACCGCCAACCATTTATAATCACAATCTATAGGTTTACCAGGTTCCTATATTTCTCTATTTTATTTACCCTTCGAGAACCAAGCTGCACATCATGAATGTGTTTTACTTTCAAAGGTAGTCCTTTTTCTCTTAATAGGCTTCCTTATTAGTTTAAAAATACAAGAACAAAATTTTACAGTAACCAATAAAGCAATCACTTTATTTTTCAATATATATGTACATGTATATGTTTGTGTGCGTGTATATATGGATGTTCAATTTCATCTAGACTAGCTTATGAATGAAAAGATTCAAACCTGCTCTACATAAGCTAGAAGAAGATGTTGAAGTAAAACAGGCTGCGCCCTCTATAAATGTGTATATCCAGGAATGATGAGACTCTCATTATTTAGAGCCAATTTCACCAGAGCAACTTGGAGATTTCTAATGCTAGCAACAATCTTGTCTATAGCATCACGGCACCACAAACGAAAATCGGTCAGAACTTGATCATTTCGGCTTCGAGCAGCGTGGAGCTTCTTCGCAGGCTCACCAACCATATCGGTTAACGCAGCTTCAATGTTCATGTGGACATCTTCCCGGTCAGTCCTCCACACAAATTCACCAGCTTCTATGCTTCTCTCTATTTCATCTAGACCTTTCAAAATACTATCCCTTTCGCTTATACTAATCAACCCCTACACGCCAAAAAAAAACACATTCATTCAAATTAGCTAGAACAAACAGCAAAATACCATTGTATAAATGACAAATCATAAAAACTGAGTTCTGTATTTCCAATAAAATCTCTCAAAAACACTAAAAAAAAATAATTGAAAGAGGGACAAAAAGGGAACCTGTTGAGCAAGCATAGAAGCATGGGCTTTACTTCCCATAATATCATGCTTATACAACTGCTTATCAAACGAGATAGACTCAGTAAACTTCTCAACGATATCCGTCACACTCTCTTCGAATCTCCCGCCCCAGAGCTTGGTCTCTTTTGGCTTAGTGTCGGCTTCAGATGAGTGACTCATGGTGCACAACAATGGCTGGAACCTCGAGTTGAGCCTGTGAAGCAATGGGAATATGGGTTTGGGGTTGGGCAAGGATTTATTGGAGAGGAAGGTGGATTGGGAGGGAAAAAGCGGGGTTTGCAATGAAGAAGAAAACAGCAAGGACTCCATTAACCAAAGCAGAAGATAGAAGAAGACAATAACTATAGTGCGCCTTACGCATACAGGGTTTAGGGTGTTTTCTTTTCCTCGAAATGTGTCCTGTCCGGTCGAGATGCAATGGGGTTGGTTTCGGATCCAACATTTCGGGTCTTTAGTTTGGGCCAATGGGCTTAATATATTGGGTAAATCCAACTCCTCATATTTCTCGGATTTGCTTAATATTAACCCCCATCCAGCTTAATATTACCATTGGGTTACATACTATGGATTTATTTACTATCCACTGTAGCAAAATATCATTGTATAAATGGCAAATCATGAATTCGTCAAATGATTTTCGTGGTTAAAATAAAGTGTTGTTCAAGCAGTATTTAGAATATTATTCTTTTAATAAAATTATTTTTTTCTTCTTTAGTTAACATGAAACGAGATCAATTTTAGTGATTGTTATCAATCATCGATATTTTTTTTACTTTCTTATCTTACGTCTTTATTTTTTTATTTTATCATTTTTAACGTTAGATTTGAAGTCACTTCAACTTATCATGAGATATAATGAAAATTTGAATATTGTGTACAGCTTATCAATAATGAATTATCTTTGATTTAAGTTTCGACAACATTAGTAGGTAAAATCAACTCACAGTAATAAAACTTTTAAGCTGAAATATTCAACATCTAAAAAACCATCGAATAATTTGACGTCTCTTAACACAGAACGAAAAATATTAACCCTTTGTAGTTTTTTTAATAGAGACGAAGCAATCTCCAAAAATAAAACATCCTACGAAATCGTTCAAAACCCGAGCTAATAATTTTTTTTTGGGATTGAAAAAAGGAGCTTAAAAGCCAGTACAGAGATTAACGCCTAAGATAAGGAGGACCATAAAGGTCTCTAGATAAGAGATTATGCACTCCATGAGGAGGAGTCGAGAAAATGGAAGTAGATCCGTCAGTGGGATGAGGCATCTTCTGCTGGAAAGTTAGCTTCCCTGCGAATCAAAGTAAAATCAACACACCAAGTTCTCGAAATAAGATGAAAGATAGCACGGACAAGAGCAAGGGGCACGAGTAAGCGGTTGGAGAGGTGACCAACTTGAAAGCTTCGCTGCAGTCTGTTTGGCATTGAATGCGCCCGAAACCGGACCATGCGATGCGTAATCCGTCCAAAATACCCCAAAGCTCAGCATGGAGGGGGTTTGAAAGTCCAATAGCCTTGTTAAAACCAACAAGCCAATTTCCATAACTATCTCTAATGAGACCGCCAGCAGAAGCAAAAGAGGATGAAGTGGAGATCGAACCATCAGAGTTTAAAGTGACCCAGCTAGTCGGAGCTGGGAGCCATCGAACTTCCTCCTGAATAGTATTGAGAGGAGAGCAAGAATCCATTTGTGGATGCGCAGAGAGGCAGTAGGAGGCCCAATACTTACTTTGACCAAGGAGGGCAGTGGTCGATTGGGACTGGCCTGCGAAGATAGTGGAGTTTCCACGTTTCCAGACCTGCCAAGTGATTGAAGCAAACTTGATTTTCCAAGGGATTCCAGTACCTGCAAAAAGGAGATTAGATTGAATATTTGCTAAAATCCAATCTTCAATAGGCAGCGAGAAGAATGAATTATGTTGAGCAGGTCGAATAATAGACATCCAGAGAAACTTAGTATCCTTGCAATCTCTAATAATATGAATAGAAGATTCAACAGCGCCGCAGATGGAGCAAGCCGGATTATCCGTGAGGTTGCGATGCCCAACGAGACAGATTTGAGAGCAGTTTCTCTGATAGATAACCAAAGAAAGTACTTGATTCGCTCTTGAATAGGAAGGCTCCAAATCGAATTCCATTTGGATTCGGAAATCTTCTGAAAAGCAGATTTAACCGAAATTTGACCATGAGAATCCGGATCCCAGTAACAAGAATCGCCGCCAATGGTGGGATCCGGAGCATGAATATTCATGATGAAAGGGATGGCCTCAGGGACAAGAAGCTGATTAAGGAGAGACCAATTCCAACCACCATCAGGAGAAGCAACATCCGACACAAGAAGATAATAATCAACTATATCATGTAGCAATCTCCAAGAATTGTGACAGAAAAATATACATCTCATTTGAATCTATAAGGAAGCAAAGAGGCGGCGTGTTCGAACCTATATATTTAAACAATTGAAATATCAATCTAATTTAAATATTATCTCGATTAAAAATATAATAATTTCATAAATTAATTCCGTAGTTAAACGTTGATATTTTTGGGTGATTATAAGATAATATATATTCGAAAAAAAATATTTAAAATTTGGGTGCTTTGCATTTTTCTCGGGGGAAGCTTTAAAGGTACTTTGTTTGTTGATTTTTTGTTCTTTAAAGTTTCCAACGAATCTTTTCTTTATGTTCGAATATTGAAACACAAGGAAGGAAGCTTGGGGTTTCCCCCCTCTTCTTTGTTTTGCTTCGCATCCATCGATGAAGGAAGCTTTTATCTCTAACGTGTCCATCTTTTTTCTAGGGGCTTTATTCTGAGATTCTGTTTGTATTTCATTAAGAAATGTGAATGAAATTTGAAAAAAGTAAATGGAACAAGAGGTTCTAGTTTTATGGTTATTTTATTGTCAAATTTGAAATCTATTTTTAGCAGAAAATTATCTGTTCTTTTTGCCTATTTTTTTAGTGGAGCCGGTTCATCACTTAGCATCTTTATTCTTCAGGATCATGTCTAAATTAATTGTATTGACAGTAAATATTGTCCAAGGTTGCATTTTTTGTTTATCACAAAGATGGACACTTTGTGATACGCAGCCAAGGAAAATATAAGATTTTTAAAGTTCATTTTAATGGTTTGTTTTTGCTGCATCAAATTCCTTAGGTGAATTCTTGTGTTAATTGCAGTTTGTTAAGTGTGTGATTTGTTTGCAGAAAGTGCTGATCAAATTGCTTATCTGCTGATTCGGATTCTGCGGGGGCTGGATTTTAGCTATATTTGTGTTTCATATTACAAACTCTTTCTTGTGCCATAAGATTCGAAAGACTTGCTTCGGTTAATTATACATATGGCTTTGGCCTTTACTCATCTTTCATGGTGGTTATGGAGTGGGAAACATCAAGAACCTAGCACTGCCAACAGATTGTCTTTAAGTTCTTCATCTGATTCAGGGTTATGGGAGTCAGATAACCTGAAGTTTCCTCGGATTAAGAGGACTAATATGGCTCCTTCTTCGAGAAGAGTTAAGAGGAAATGGCATAGTTGGGAGGAAAGAAAGATTGACAGGGAATATGATGTAGTTCTTGTGCCATCTGATGGAGGGTGTGTTTCGGGGTCCGAGTCTGATGGTTCTGATTTCTCCATTGGATGGTTGGAGACTCATGGACCTGGATTCCAGAGTGATGATGATTCGGATAACAGTTTCGCAGTGTTGGTTCCATGTTACGGGCACAATCAGGATAATGTAGTGGCAGATTCGAAGAACAATATTCTAGGCGCCATTGTGAAAATTCGCGACAATTATTCAGCTGGTAAGAACCATTTCTCACTCGTATTCTAATGTTAAGAATGTATATTAACGTTCAATTCCGTTGTCTTTATTGCTTAGCAAGTCGATAACTGGATTGTTTCTAAGGTTTAGATTTCAAGCCTTTGACATAATAGGAAACAACCTGGATTTGAAACGATGCAGCACGGCATGTGACAGGTCATTGACCGGCTGCTTAACACTAACTTTAGCTTCTGGCTTTGTGAATTAAAGCATATTCAACACTGTTAACCTAGATGCACTTCCTTATGTTTTGAACTGGTCCACGGATATTGTTGAGTTGTTCAAATTATCTAAAAAATCTTCAAAAGTATTTGCAGACTAACAATGTTATAGGTTTAAAATTAACTAGTTACAAGGAGTTTCTCGTTGATTTCAAAGCTGTAATAGTGATCTGAAAACAAAGAGAAAAGTGATTTTTCATTAGTTGTGAGGTTTATGCATTGAACTTTGAAAAAGTTCGACATTTAACTTGTTATTCTTTCTTCTGATTGGCATCTTGCTCTCTTAATTTCTCATCCCCTGCACATGTCTGAGTGCACTTAATTGGGAATAATCTGTTACGTTTTTTTGCCCATCTTCGATTGAAGATGATGTTTTCCAAGTTTTATGCTATCTATAGCAAGGCCATGATGATTAAAACCTGAGATAAAAGGCCATTTTACTTTGGCTTAAGGCTGAAATGTTTGCTCTCTCTTTCCAACATGGAAGTCACTGTTCAGCCATTCTATTAATTTGCTATTTTTTCGGAGAACTCTCTTTGTTCGACCCTTTTAAAACTGATTCTCACATTGGTTGCATCTCTTTATATGTTTAGGGTATACATAGCAGTCTATTTTCTTTTAACTCATCAATTGTTATCATTACTTGTCTTCTGTTCGACAATTGTTGGGAAGACATGTGCTTTAAGTTTCCGATCATGGTCATCTTCCGTAAGCTGTACGGAACTTGCTGAAGCATATGGCTTGTTCTGAATCCTTTTCTTTGTGTTCTTCGATTTGCAGAAAGCAAAATGTACGTGGAACAGTGGCTTTCTTCCCTGCAGACTAACTGATACCGTGCTCTGTTGAAGATTGCATATGAAAGCCCAACTGCTGGAAGAACACGGTCTGGTATTTATAAATATTATATAAAGATACTGTAGATAGTGTATTAAAAAAAAAAGATGAGAAGACGGAGGTGGACGAATGGCTTGCTTCATTGTTTTGTTGGTGACAATAGAAGAGAATCTGAGCTGACATCAACCGATGAGCAGCGGAAACGGCGAAGGTACCAACATGGTGTGAATATTGGACAAGACGTGTCCTTTTCTGGTGTTTCCTTTGAGACCCAAATAGAAAGGAGCCGACAATACGTCTTCCTTGCATACTGTTCAGACGAAGTAGATTAATGTTCATTTGTGCGTGTGTAATATATTCTTTGCCGTAAATATCAACGTACATACTAAAAACTGAAGCTGACTTGTATTTTCATTTTATTGCTGTAAATAATCTATGAATAGTTGCGTGTACTGTTTCGAGTGTCATACTATCCGACCGACTGCTTTTACTCCGGACGAACAGAGATGAAGTAATGAAAGACGCTAGAGCTAGAAATATAAACCTAACCCACCACCATATTTGGCATGGAAATGAAAATGTCCATCACCAGACATGTCTAAGATATCGTCCTTCCGTTTGGAGTTTCTTCACCATAGACTCCGCCTTTGATTACTCCAAGTTCGCCTGAAACTCAGTGACAAGCTTCGAGATTAATGTTGCTACCAATACAGAATTTCCTCTTCGAAATTGGGAGATCATATTTGCACACATCCATCGTTTATGGAATTCATGTCTTCAACAGAACACAGGATGCTCTAGCTCTGGTATTGATGAACGAATACACTAGGATAGAAAATTGATAATGCAGCAGTGGCCTAACTGCATCCTTCCTTTTATAACAATAATAATAATAATAATAATAATAATAAAAGACATGCCTGGGTTATGAGGAGCAGAAGATTTAGGAGCTTGAAGCAACTCTTTTAGCTTCTTGTGTTTTCTTTGGAGAAGCTGCAAGCAAATCATTTCCCTAAAATCAAAGCAGTTGCAGACACTCGTCTCCTATGAGAGATATAAAATATGATTAGCAGTTTCTGGCGTTGGTTTAAAGAATGCAGCTGATGCCTTTCCTGCTCATTTCTCCGACCCTCTTCCCGTAACTGATTGTGCATATGCATGATATTAACCCAGTTAAGTACATACAGCAAACAATAAATGCTTTAATTTGGTAGATACTAGAAATAAAAGAAGAGAGGAACCTGCAACAGTTCCTTTTCTCGACACACTTTCCACTGACGGAATTGTTCCAACTGAACCTACAACCACATATTATCATGCATAGCAGATTGATACGAAAGCAATGAAAGCTATAAAGAAAAAAGAAGCATGGAACCTGCAACAGTTGCTTTTCTCGACTCCGCCTCTTGTTTTATCCCATGTTGCAACTGAACTTACAACCGTATGCATAATAGGCAAGGGAAGGTTTAGCAATGGTTTTGAAACAAAGAAATGAAAGCTATATATAAAGATGGAAAATAAAACTCAACCGTTTGTGCCTTGATGAATTGAATTTCGTCTTGTAGTCGTTGCGCCGCTTCATCACTCTCCTCATTCTCTTGTTTCTTCTTAAGATCCATAATCTAAGTTTTGCAAATTAAACCAAACCATCATCAACTCATCTTCTTCCATCTAAAATTTCAACTAAAACTTTCTGTCACCTGTGCTTCAAGGGATTTAAGTGTATGTCAGAACAAGCTGATAGATTTTCATTTTCGGCCAATAACTCATCCATATCTTGCTGCAAGCCTACAATATATCAACTTTTCCTCCACAAAGAACCCATACTTAAAACCATAAAAACAATTGAACCACCGATGCGTAATTTTAAAAGGCAAAAAAAAGGTTAATTAAATGAGAGAGTTAAGATTTTTACGGGAAAATAATTTTCAAAGTAAAACAATGTTAAATGTAGGGATTTTTCATTTTTGGTGTTGATTCCGGCCAAAGAGGTGAGCGAAGAGACGGCGATAATATCATGGACGACGATTAGAGTACTTATAGAATTATAATTAAAATATTTTTATTTCAATTTCAGAGGTTAAATTAATTTTTTTTATTAATATATCACATCATCAATGTAATGATCATTTTGTAACTAATCGATAACATAGTTATCAAAATATAACAATTAAAAATTGAATGACAACATAAACAATTGAAACATTAGTGACTACTACTGTAATTTATCCTAATATTATTTTCAAAACGAAAAGCTCACCACCACTCATTTCTACCAAACACACTTATATGTAATTGGATTTGGTTAATGCCACGTCTATCAAATTAGATGAAATAGTTTTTCTACTTAAAAATATTCTATTTATCACATTTGTTTTCTTAAAGCATGATGACTATATATTCATTTCATTCCATCCCTATCAGAATTACTATTTAATTGTTAATTTTTATATAATCTAAATTAAAATACATTAACATCAATATTTTCAAATATTTTGCTAATGGTTTAATTCACAATTTAACCCTCTAAATATATACATTTTCTCACTTTACATCTCATTTTGAGCCTTAAATTATTCCCGTTTACCCATTGGAAGCACGCCTAACAAGTGACTAGAACAAAACCAAACTCAGATACTACATAACACTGAGTTAATTAATCCGAATTGTTCCAGGAAATAAAATAAGAATACAGATATAGAATCTGGGTCAAAAATTAAACAAAAATTTTTACAGAGAAAATACATATACTTGGAAGACGAATTGGTGAATCGCCTTACTAATCCGTGAAACAAATACATGGGCAAATTTGAACCAAAATCGAAAAAAAAACACTAACCGACCCATAAGTGTAGCCATTAAACCGGTGCATGTATCATGCAAATTTATATTTAAGACGAAATTCAGAGAACCTTTCAGCACATTCAAGCATATGTAGCAACAGCTGATCGGTGCATATTATCTTCAGGATCGTGCCGACTAGGGCACAAGGTTCAAATATCAACAATACAAAACAAAGGGTTTTCCGAATATTTTCGATACATTAGCATAATTAGTATTATTGTGTTATAATTTCGAATAAAATGCAGAACTTTATCACAATCTGAAATGGAAAGTGTAGCTCTCTAACTGATTTACATCAAAAAAACTAATGTACCTGAATGCTATCTGCCTTCTTCTGGAAAAAAAGTGATCCTAATAGAACAGCAATGCCAGTTATTGCAATTGTGAATAGAATTCGTCTCCTCGAATAATCTGGTCGCTGCCTTCTTGGAGCACCTTCTTCCCTCTCAGTTTCCCTCACATCCCTAAACAGTGCCAAATACATTGATTAAAACCAATGACAACAGCTGCAGTGCTCTTGAGTAAGGGCTGATAGATAACAAAGAGCCAAATTCTGATACGGCTTTCAATAAATTATGCACAAGCACAGCATACTCATTACAATCAATCTAGTAGCACAACATACTTCAATTTCAGGCTTTAACTGGCAGTCTTTGCTGAAATATAGGTACGTTCCTCATACAAACAAATGACACAAAGACTAGCTAAATTGTGCCATATTTCCCCACTTATGGCGGCAGGCCCGGGGGGGTCCTGACTAATGGAATGTAGGGGAAATCGTACAGTACTCACATGGCTTATGAAATCATTGATTGCATATCATGGCTAAATTCTGGACTGAAATGAATGCTTTTTAACATAAATCCATATTTGGAACTAGAAGCTCTCAATTCCACAATGAAATTCAAAACTGGTACAAAATGCTGACCTAGAGCATGCAAGGTACCAAATCTTGGTTGCTAGATGCTAAGAAGACAAAAGTACAAGTTCAAATCATAGGGCACCAATAACAAGAACCTACTTTCATGGTTATATCTTTCTCTTAGTCTAATATATCTATACCCTAACAATCCAATCAGAAATTATATTATAGCATAGATACCTGGAAGATCCCACATTGTTTTCTGCAATACCAGTACACCTACTTTCATGGTTATATCTTTCTCTCAGTCTAATATATCTGCTACAAAGATGACACAGCTCCGTCCTGTTCCCACATACTTCCTAAAATCACAAGGCAACAAGATACATTGTAATAAGTTCTCAGCTACAAGTACTGGAATCCTTCCATTCGAACACATATTCAGAATAAGTACCTGATGTTCAGCCAGATCAATGGCAGGCAATGGAAACTCGCAAAACTCACATGTGACAATCCTCTGGGGGCAATTTTCCCCTTTATGAATAGCTAGAATTTCACGTTCCATTGTCTCACTGCACAGTGAACAGGCCACCTGCTTGCACAAATATGCAGTCGATAGCATCACAGATGTTAAGACATGCACCGTCACCATGTAGATTTTCACTTGTACATACAGAATTTGTAACATCCTTAATACCGGGTTAGTGACCAAATTGTAATATTTCAGAATTTGGTGATTTAAAGTGGAATAGTTGAAAAGTTCAGTGATTTATTTGAAAATATTACCTTGAAGATGCTAGTAATTATAAAAGGTATTAAAGGGCAAAAGGGTCATTTGACCAAGAGATGAATAAAATAATGATATATATATGGATAAGGATGAGAGATTTTTCCAGAAATCTCCTCTCTTTTTCTTCTTCATCTTCTTCTTCCTCCCGTGAAAGCTCCAAGGCAAATGTAAGATTCCTTGTAGCTGATTATTTGTTAATTTTAAGAGTGGGTTTTGATCCTTAGGTAATATTTAAGCTTATGGAAAGCTTAGGTTGTCCTAAAATCAAAAGATGAAGAAGTTATGAAAGATTAAAGAAAATGAAATTATAAGGCACTCTTTTCCTCCTTCCCATGATTAAGAAGCTTCTTTACAAGCTCCATTAATCAAGAAGGAGGTTTTTAAAGAGACCTTCAAATCTTATCAAAAAAAAAAAAGGAAATGTTGGAAAAGAGTTAATAAGTGAATTTTGAGAAGGAATTTGACTTGTTATCAATAAAAATAAGAGATTTATGAAGTTAGAAAGGATTTATAACAAAGTTGAAAATTAGTAAGATTCTTAATTTTAAGAATCATGATGAGATATAGAAGATAAATATGGTTTATATGGATATAAGTTGGTTTAAGTAATGGTAGTTGAGTTTAAGGACATGATAGGACCTTAAAATAGAAGAATTGAATGAAGAGTTGAATAATTTCGTGCTTAAAATGGAATTTCTGGGTTGTGTGCATCGATGCACTCTCAAATAAACAAACATCGAATGCAAGTAGTGTATCGATGCATAAGTAGTGCATCGATGCACCCCCTTAAAATACAAACATCGAATGTATTTTATGCACCGATGCACAAGTAGTGCATCGATGCATCGTTAGGGAATGCATCGATACACTGTACAGTGCATCGATGCATACCTTCATTAAAAGATGAAATTGGCTTTTCTCTTAGCCTAAGGAGTGATAGTTTCGAATATATCAATTAGTATACTGATAAGTATAAATGTATTATTATGTAGATATAGAATGAAAGTTTGTTCCGGAACAAGCTAAGGATTAGGATTGATTCGAAGCAAACGAGGCCCAGGTGAGTGCATACAAGTTAGTTTATGACGTTCAATGAAAACAAGACTTGCGACGAGCCTATTTCCTATATTAGAATGTATGAATTTATGATCATATGTATATGTTTGATTTGAGTATATATGATATAAATTACAGTAGGTGTTAAATGATTTGTGTGAATACATGTAGTGTGATCAGTTATAGGATCTAATATGAATGATCTATATGATTGCATGGGAAGTGAAATAAGTTATATGATGGATGACCATACATGTTGCAGGGTATAGGTGATTAATTATGAGAATCAGTATAATATATTTATGACTACATGAGATGGGTGATGAGTTAAATAAGACCAAACTATAGAGTAATATGATAATATTTAAGAGAATAATATATAGATCAGAAGATAATAAATTAAGAGACTTTATGAAAATGGTATATATATAAATTAGGGGACATGAGCATAACGATGATACGAACCTATAGGATAAATACTATAGGAAAAAGTGATATGCTTAAAAGAAAACTATGATATAGAAGTTATAAAATAAAGAACTATAAAACCTTATGAGAAGATTATAGGAGCTATATAGAACTAAATTAAATGGATAGAATAATTCATAATTAAATAACGTGAGATAAGTGATAAGGGTTATATGTTATTGTACATGTTAGTATAATAAATCATGTAAGCTGATACAAAGGGAAAATGAGATAAAGATAAATAGCTTTTACCTATAGGATTGATATAAGATTATATGCCGGTGTGATAACATGTACAAGGTAACTAAGCTCTATTATATGGATCTATGTGAGTATAAGTAACGTGATTGCATAAACTATATATATATTTATATGATTTGGTATGTGCCATTTGATTCCTGGGTATACATGTAGATAATATATGTGGATATAAGCTATGCAAAAGTGATCTATGTGACTAGATGTATATGAAATCTAAGTGATATGACTTATAGGTATTTCTATTATAATGTTACATGATATGTATGTATGTTAAATGAATTATGTGATGGTATAAGAAATGATATGAATTATATAGGCAAAAGCATGTATATGTTATGAGATAAGACCTATGACTATGAGTTATGTGAAAAGTTGTGTGATACGTGATATGTGAAAGTGAATTACAGGTTTATGTGAATATTTGAAATGAAATAAATGATAATGCCCATGTTATGTGTCATGAGAGCTAGGGGTATAGTTGGCATGCCAAGAGTCGAGGGTCTACGCGATCCTTCGGGACATATGTATAATTCTTTGGAACATTTATGAGGTCTTTGAGACACATACTTGGTCCTTGGTATATGTATATGATTCTTAAAGAATTTCTATGTGGTCCTTATGGACATTATATGGCACTACGGTGCATTTCTACACGCCACTTCGGTGCAATTCTACGTGGCACTACGGTGCATTTCTACGCGGCACTTCGATGCATTTATTCGAGCTGTGCTGACAGCATTAGTACACAACCTCTATAGACTCACATATATATAGTTCTTACAAGTGTACCATGGGCTAATCAAAGAGATAACATGAATACAATATATATATAATGTATGTGCTTTTGGTTACAGGAATTATGATTTATGGGTGTTTCTTGGTGAAATGATATATGTGTGATATGATATACATAAATGATAAGAACAAGATCAGGTTATAAATAATTGGATGATAATGATAGAAATAATTATAATAATATATATGATAATGCTAAGAAAGTAGATGATGATATATGTACATGAGTGTATTTGTTATATAAAAAGGTGTGTGATTTTGTATGAAATTGTTATATGATTTTGTATGATAAGTTAGTATTAAATGTTCATGTGGTTTATTATATGGAATGTTTTATGATTTCTATTATATGTTTTATTTGCCTCACTAGGTCATCGACTTAGCGTGTGATTGTTTCACACGTAGGTTCGAGAAGAATATAGAGAGCATTGGGGAGCAAGACAGGTCAGTGTCTCATTTACAAAGTTCAGATCAGAAAATATATGTATTTGACACGTAAATAAAAATTTGAATTCGATATACTCGAATTTGTTTTGTAAAATCATATGATACTAATTTATGTAAATTAGTCAATTGTATTTAGTAAAAGTTTTAAAATTATTCACTATTTTGTTCAAGTAAAAGTTTTGAAAAGTCAATGTGACATCTCAGACTTGTAAGCGGGTCGGGTACGGGTTGGGGGTGTTACAGAATTGATTCATTTCAAAAGAAAAGAAAAGACCTACCGGAGCGTGTGCGTTGAAGAAATGTTCCTCAGCATGCTTTTTTGGAATCATATCACCACAAACTTTACATTTTTCTAGATTACGGGAGCAATGAGCATAATGCAACTCGATGTTAGAAGAAGGTATAGCCCTGTCACTGAACAATTAAGAAGGAAAAGTACTTGTTAAATACTCTTCTGTATGGGAATTTCAAACGACAGTAAAACCTAAATAAATGAATGTTAGATAAATTAGTGATTAATCAATATATCTGGTTATTCTAACTCCGTTAATTCACTAAAATAATGTATTTCTATATTGCAGAAGTATAAGGTAATAGATGAACCTTGGTAATCTTTGTCACAACTCATATTTAACCTTCCTAGGGAAACATAACCTTGGTAGTCTTTGAAACAACTCATATTTCACCTTCCTAGGGAAACATAAGATCATACTACAGCATCGTATGAAACTACTTCATGATAAATAGGAAAATGTGGAAGCCCCGAGCTGCTTTTTAACAATTTGCAAATGCTAAGCACACTTTTCCATTAAGTGGAATACAAAGGTTATTCTTTATTAGAACAATGAAGGATAGCCTGGAATGGGGTTGTAGATGCTGAATGCGAACCACATGCTTCCAAGATGCTACTTACTACGGATAGCTGCATGAACCAACTGAGCTAAGCTCAGGACTCAAAGTGGATTATAAAAGTATTGTTAACGTAGACTAGAACACCGCCAAAAAAGAATCAAAAACTATGTACAAAGGTTCAAAATACCCTAAACAAACAGAATTCATCACATGAATTCTCAACTAGGAGCAAAGACAAAGGCTGTGATCACATGAACCGAATACAACAAGAAATTCATCAAACAAACAGAATTTTAGGTCCTAATCCAAGCTAAAACCAGAGGGTAATTCAACTAAATTATCCCCCTTCTCGGCTTAATTTGGCCAATTTAAATTACCAATAATTTCTTTGAGCATTAACCAATCTACTACACAAACTCTAAACAAACCACGAAACAAGAATTCCTTCAATCCGCCAATATAAGTTCAAATAAACAAAAATCTCAGCTGATAAAAGCATAAATAAACAAAACCGGGATCGAAAATACAAGAAAAAAATAGCACAGATATCCAGCGAAACAGAATTAATTCTAAAAAAATCATAAAAATACTAATAAATACCAGTGATTGCATATGCGGGTGGTTTCTTCCGAAGCAATTGCCATAGCGATCCGTTTCAAAATCTTTGACCAACAAAAAAATCAACGAAAATAATAATCACGAGAGGGAAAATTAGATAAGGTGAACAAAAATTCGTGATGAATAATTAGTCAATTAACCTGCAAAAAGACTTTGATTTTCCTTGAAACTCTCCTCTTTCTTCTTTTATTTTTATATAAATTGAAAATGAAATTAGAGCGAGAGTGAGAGAGTTACTTTGATGACTGCTTTGATTGAAGCAACTGGTCTGGAGTTTTGACATTGGGAGTTGGGATGGGACCATCGATGGAGTCCACCGTCTGGCTTTCCTCCCACGCGCATTCCAAAGGAGATGAGTTGCACGACGATTTGCATTTTGGGCCCTTGCTCTTCTAACTTTTTTGGGCCTTCAACACAACAATATGCTCTTACGGAGAAAAAAACTGATTAATTGTATATCATATTTGGTTAAAATACTAACAAGTCCTGAATTATTATTTAATTTGTTTTTAAGTTACCCAAATGTTATCTTCTATTCTTAATTATTTTATTTCAAACGAAAACTTCTTTTATATTAAGATGGTTTTTGATAAGTTCAAATATTTATTATTTAAAAATTAAGTTGCAAAATGTATTTGATATATACTTAAATTAATAAAATTTATCAGAAAATTTTCATTAAGTGATAAATAAATAATTATCTATTTATCATTTTCTACATTTTTCATTAAAAAATATTACTTTCCTTCTAAATTGTTAAATAATTTTTTAGGATTCAATTATATTGTGTAAAACTCTTTTAATTTTACATAAATTTAAGATCGTTGGATGAGTATAAATAGATGGCTTAGGTTAACAATAGGAAATGAGAAGATATTTATTGGAAAAAAAATAAGGAGATATTCGGTCATCTATTTTTACTCATCCAATAATCCTAAATCAATATAAAATTAAAAAAATTACACATATAAATGAATTTAACCCATTATAAAATTATAAGCATATTCATTTAAGATTGAGGTAAGCCTCCAATTCCCACCTTATCGGACTATTATAGCTTGCTCTCTTTCGACCTAACAGTTGGCTATGCTTATTGTTTACGACACTTCAGATGTCCAATTTTTATCTAGATCGAACTATCTTTTATAAATTTTTTGAAGATTATCGTATAAAATTTATTAAGTGATTTTAGTGATAGAATAAAATATTTTAAAAAATGAACTTTAAACAGTTACATCTGTTAAGTGTGCGCGTTTTATGAACATACTAAAAAAATTAAACATATATTGCATATAAACACCCTATAATATTAAAAAATGATACTTATACGGGGAAATGATAATAAGAATATGAAATATTTATATATTTTAATCTATTTTTTTAATTTGAATGTTAAAATCATTATTCATTCATGATTTAGAGTGGTTAAATATATTATTATTTGAATTTGCATTACTTATGGACATTGCATATTCAACTTTAAAATTTGACTCTAAATTATAAAATATTGAATGTATTTGTTTATAAGAAAATTAAACCTTAATCATTTTTAGTACATACAGATATTTGTGAATTTAAATATTTGACGTTATTTAAATTTTATTTATTTTTATAAATTTAAATATATATAAGACAATAATATTTGAGATAAGATTTAATTACATAGTATATAAATTTTAATTTTATACAGATATAGGACTGTTGGATGAGTGAAAATAGAAAATTAAGATTAATAGTAGAAAATGAGAAGACATCAACTGAAATAAAACAAAGAGTTAATTCAACCCCTATTTTCATTCATCCAACGATCATAAATCTATATAAAACTAAAAAAGTTTTACATTGGGCAAGTGTATTCTAACTAATAATATTTATTTCAAATTCATATAGTAATATTTGAATAATTTATGAATAAAAAAATTATTTTTGAAAACTATCTATCTATTGCGAAATCATATTTTATGAATATGTCAGTTGCATGATTGATAAATCTGAGGTGATAAAGGTTTTTTAAGCTATTTGAATTTTTATATATTATTAATGTTTGTTTTATGATTAATATTTTAGGTTTATGGCTAACTTTTTTAATGATATTGATTCAACACTCATTAATCAACTTATTAAAGTATTAAACCTTAACGGGCAACTTTTAATGTGAATGTTAGTCATTTCATTATTTCATCTATTGGCTTTTTTCTATATAAAAAATTGAGTGAGAAGCATTATTGGACCTAAAGATATATATATATATATATATATATATAGCATTGCTTTTTTAAAAAAAACTGTATATGATCTATTGATTGATTAATCTGGATCGGATACTATAGAGGTGAGAACGACCCTCCCAACCTAATTTGTTCCATTTATAAACGTTATGATTCGAACACCTAACCTTACTTAAGAGATAACCTTACTTGACAGATCTCACTTAGACAACTTGTTGTTGGTGTATACTATTGTTGTTTGATCCAATAATTCCCCGGTCCCAAAGTTAACATTAAAATATACTTATAGTCCTCAACTCCACAACTGAAATTTCCACTGTCTGCCATAAATACGTAATCAACGTTGCACGTGGAGTTAGACTAGTGATCCATACCAACTTAAATATTTGCATTTCCTCTCCTCTATTAACTTATTCCACTTGACTAAGTTTTCATACTTATCATTTGAGTCGAATCCGATTAGATAATCTGAAATTTCTATTCACTTGATATGAAAAAAATATATAACTGAGATAAATATATAAACATCTACCTAATAATAATCATGTTGTTAAATTCGCAGAGGGATTTAAATAGTAAAAGAAAGTGTTGTTTTTTCTAGAGGATTCAAGTCTGACCAATTATGTTTGTGGAGTGTATACAATATATGTGTTGTCAATAATAGATTAATAAAATATTTGAACATATATTATCTTATAACTACTCAAACTAATCAAATATATATATAACCATATTGCCAAAATCAGAAGTTTTGTAATGCAACCAGAATAATTATACATGATTTATTATGGAGATTGCAATATTTTTTGTTAGAACTTAAAATATTATTCAATTTATTTTAAAGAGTTATAAATGTAACACCCCTAACTCATATTCGACCCGAATACAAGTCCGAGATGTCACATTTACTTTTCAAACTTTGATTATTAAAGAAAAATCCCGGGAATTTAAAACTTTCATTAAAACAAAATACTTTAATTTACATAAAAGAGACCACTTAATACAAAATCGATTAGAGCATTCATAATTAATCAATTATTACATACCAACACTTTATACACAACAAAATACCTACTTTGTCAATTACTTCTGATCTAATTTCTTAGTAATGTTGTTGTCCGTGCCACCGCTATTCTGAATCTTCTTATTTCTTGGTATCTACGTGTAAATCACTTACACGCTAAGTCATAGACTTAGTGAGGCAATAAATGAATATGCAACAATATCTTCATGAATATGCAACAATATCTTTATGAATATGCATTCTTACCATTTTCTTCATGACATTTCAATATGCATGTATCTATTACACAATAACATATATAATCATATCATGCATGTACAAAACTTACCTTCTTGTACCACTTTCACTTTACTTTGTATTTCAATTGCCCATGTATATTATTGAGAATAGAGGTATGTGAGTACATAGAGGTTGTGCACTAATGCTGTCACCACAGCTCGTATCAATTCCCTCATGGGGCACCGAACCTTAGTTCAGTATTCGTCCCAAAGGACTGCCATATATGTCCTGTAGGACCACTACATCCCGAAGGACTATTATACCCTCGACTCTTGGCATGCCAATTACACCTATAGCTCTCATATCGTATATTATGGGCATTATTCTTTTATTTTATATGTTCATGTACTCATGTCATTTCTCTTGTGATCATGTAGTTCATGTCATTTCTCTTGTGATCATATAGCTCATGTCATTTCTCTTGTGATCATGTAGCTCATGTTATGTTCTCATATCACATATGTATTTGAATATATTCATATATATACATCATTTATCCAATCACATGAACATATATATGTCTTATGCATGTATTACAATAATTATCATATATGCATGTTCACAACTATTGTACTATGAAAATCAATATAGGAATTATACTTATCACAAGTCTTATTCCATTATACTATACATATAGTATGCACTCACCTTAGCTTTGCTTTGATTCGATTCTAATCATTTGATCGTTTTGGAATAAGCTTACTTTTAGTATCTACATAATCACACATGGATCTATATCAGTAATATAGCTAATATACTCTAATGGTTCACTCTTTAGATTAAGATAAATGCCAATTTCCTCTTTTAATGAAGGTATGCATCGATTCACTACTTGTGCATCGGTGCATAAAATGCATTCGATGTTTGATTATTAATGGGATGCATTGATGCATGCCTTATGCATCGATGCACTAATTGCATTCGATCTTTTTATTTTAAAAGAGTGCATCGATGCACTACCTGTGCATCGATACACCTTCAAACACTTTCTGGGTTTTAACCTTGATGCATCGATGCACTATGAATATGCATCGATGCACTCTGCTCAGAATCCTCTTTTTGAACCCGAAAATTCATTCATTTTGGATTAAATCCTTCATGTTTAATCCTCTTTTTCATTCTTAACTATAGTACACATCCTTAAACCAATTTATACTCATTTATTTCAACTTAATCCTCCAAATTCTATCATTCATATGTAATTTAAGAATTACATCAATAATTCAACATGTTTGAATTCCACTTTTAACACTTCGTATATCTTAACTAGATTGATGACAAGTCAAATTTAACTTTCAATTCTAGTTATGAACTCTATTCCAAGATTTCATTTAAGAACTTCAAATCTTAAATCTCTCTTAACTCCATCATCCTGTGATGTTAAGATAACTTAAGCTTTCCTTAAGCTTAGTTATCATCTAATAATCAAAACCCAATATTAAATTTTACAAGAAACTCAATAATCAGAAATCTTTCCTTTGCTTTGGTTCACACGCACAAGGAATAAAGAAGAAGAAGAGAACTCTGGAAGCCACGTGTAAATCTTTAATTATTTTTCCTTGCAATTACTCTATTGTCCTTCCATTCCTTCTTCCTTTCAATTCCATCCTACACAATAATTTAAATGTAAATCTTTAGATTATTCATTCATTTTATTTTAACCACCAAATTATGAGACTTTACAATTTAATCACTAACCCGGTATTGAGGATGTTACAATAAATTTGATAAAATTTTCAGTTATAATTAAATATAATATTTTTTTATCTTTATATTAATCGATTATATTTTAGACTTCTCCCCTTAAATAGATTCTTCATTGGGCCAAATCGATAAGAAGAATTATTCCTATATGGAAAGCATAATTAAGGAGTGACGCAACAACCCACCGTAGTGTGAGTGGGGGGGGGGGGCAATGAAAATAAATTAACAAAAAGGAAAAATATCAGCCTAAAGTATACAACAAGAGATAAACAATGAAAATAAATTAACAAAATGAAGAGCCGAACTAACATTTTAGAGCTGTCGACATTGAAAATTTTAAAATGACCTAAATTGGATTCTTGATAATCGGGAGGGGCCAAGACTGTTATTATCTCATTTAACCAAGACCCAACAACGTCCCCACTTATTCAATAAACAAATCTCAAACGGCTTTTGTATTTTTCTTTGGAGAAATGTTATCGTATTTTAAACAGAAATTTATTCAAATTCATCCGTTAATAAATTGAAATTTGGTAATTATACTTTATAAAAAAGAAAAAGTAAAGCATGTCGTAAGTTATAATTATAGGATTGTATTGAATTTATAAATGATTCGTGTGAACTTAACCAACTGGATCGCCATGAATTTAAGCTGTTGTGAGGCTGTATAAGTATATAATATGGTATTGAAATGGACAACGTGACTCAACAATCGTCCAAAATTTCTGACATAAACATATTAAAATAGAACCTATTTGTAACTAAAAAAAAATGTGGCTCGTGCAAGTCATCAACGCAAACGTCGGTGAAAAGTGACCTTTGGCTTCCCCAGGAAAACAACGGTGACGGACGATAGCAATTTGTCGGCCGTACCTAATCCATTTAATACCGACTATTGACCATGACGTGGCATTCTTAATTATAGATGTATGTAAACCTAATTAATTCACATGATTAAATCATCGAAATAGTAATTAGAAGATTTAATGAATCGTTTATTTCCTAAATTATGGAGTATATACTTTACCCACTTATCCTGTAAAGATTTTTTGAACCTTTAGTCATTAACATTCAGTGAATTAATAGCAATTTGTTGTACGTTCAAATCAAGGTTAATTTAGTTAGAATTAAATAAAATTTATAGGGTCTGAACTGAATAAAATAAGATATGTTATTTACCCTTCTCAACAAAGCCATGTGCTGACCATTGTGTCATGTATCATTGTTTCTATTACCGTTGATTTTTTTAGAATGGAATCCATGATTTTTTAATAATTCGATAATAAAATTAAATCTTAGGACATTAAAAGTTCTATAATAGAATGTTAAACCGATAAAATATATTTAATTTAAGGGCAAATGATTTATTAAATTAAATTAAAATATAAGTCAATATAAATTTATTTTAATATATAAAATATAAATCATCATACATATTTTTTGAGAGTATATTATTAACATACATCTTATAATATCAAAAATTATAAAATATTTTAAATACAATATCACACGAGAAATTCAAAAATTGTTGGGTCGGAACACAATGTGGATTTCATTGGCTAGAGAAGAGATGAAGTTGGTAATTTTGTTGATTAATTTGTGACCTCTACTTCCTCCACTGAAACATTCTTTTTGGCAGAATCTTTGATTTGGAGTTGTTCAATTTCGTAAGGGGTTCTCATTCTTCCACAGTTAGTGTTCTTCATTACGAAAGCATCTGATCCCGGTCCAATTATTCTACAAAATGCAAATTAAAAACACATAGATAAATAATTTAGAGAGAAAAAAAAACAATAAACTTTTCAATTATTCTTTTTTATTATAATTAAATTGCTAAATATTTGCTCTCACCTTTCACAAAAAATGAAAACCGAACGGATTTCACAGTTTTTAAAGCTGCAAAAAAAAAAAACTTGGCAATAATTAATTAATTTTGATTTATCCAAAAATAATAATAATTTTGGAGGTAAAAACAATTTTGCAGATGAAAGAGGGAAATGAGACTGACCGAGAGAGTGGATCATTGTGTAAAGGGTAACACAAATTATTTTTAACAAGTTCAATCATTGCCTGCTGCAAATACACTCCATGGCTCACCACCGCTATCTCCTTTTCTTCCCTCTCCCACAGCCTACAACATTATTTATTTAATTATATATTGAATGAAAATAATTTGGGTAAAATACACAAATGATCAAACTACTATACGGCGCTTCTTTATCGAGTCTCCGGATTATTAAAAGTTACAAAATAATCCTTCAACTATAAGGCATTGTTTTGGTGAGAAAGTACAAAATTATCACTCGACAATTCATATGTTCTAAACTCGTCTTTTTCTGTTAAAATATTGATGGTTGCCTAAATTGGATGTTAACTTGTTGATTGAAATATGATAATAGTTTGAGATTGTATGATCAGTTTTTTATCATATCTCAATCAGCAGGTTAATGCCTAGCTTAGACTTTCGTCAAATTTTTAACGAAAAATGATGAGTTTGGAACATATGAATAGT